TCCAAAATCGCCAAAAGCACTTTTAGTCGTTTAGAAAACACAAGCGTAACTATATCACTAATGATGACATTCACATGCTATTTGCTACAGATGTCACTAACATTAGTACCAACATAAAAATAAAAAAGTTTGCTCAAATCGATTAGCGAGGGAAGTTTAAATTAACAATTCACATTACTTTTTGAACACAGTAGTATATAGTCAGCACGTCACATTTTCTACAAGTGTCGTGCTGGATTCAGGTATTAAAAAATTGAAAAAAAATATATAGTGGCCGGAACTCTGCTTAAATATGATTGTAATGCATAGAACTCTGTTAAAATTAACGAGAACTGCCGTTAGAACCGATATATATATAGTCAGCACGTCACTTTTTCTACAAGTGTCGTGCTGGACTCAGGTATTAAAAAATTGAAAAAAAAAAATATGTAGCAGCCGGAACTCTGCTTAAATATGATTGTAATGCATAGAACTCTGCTAGGATTAACAAAAACTTCTGCTAAAACTGCCATATGCAGGCAGCACGATACTTTTTTTTCAAGTGTTATGCTATTTTCTATATATAAGATGTATATAAATTGTTAAATTTTGGTATTTTATATGTTTAGAAATTATTAAATTTTGGTATTTTGTTTTGAAACTGCGTATCTTAGTAGATTTTGAGGAGAACTGTCGGGAACTGTTGCTAAAAGTGCAAATATTTATCATTTTCTCGTACTTTAAAGGAAAACTGACGTGCCAGATTCGCGGAATTAGCACGCCATATTTTCAATTTTGCTTTTTTCATATTAAAAGTGCAGAACTATTTTTTATTTTTAGGTAGAACTGTAGAACTATGAAAAGTGCTACTAGAACTGTTTTAATTTTTTTGATATCGATAGAATGTCATGCTAGCTTCACAGATCCCATCCTTACGGGAGTTCGCGTCCTTGTGAATATTGAAGTGATTAAGATTTAAAAACTGATAATATTGTACTAATTTTATGATTTATTAGTTTAATAGATGTATTTATGCATTTATAACTCAATAATACTCGATTTTTCTTTAAAATTGAGATTTCAGTGTTATCATTAAAGTTTGATTATCAATAAAGATGATAATTGCAGAGAAAAAAATTGTGATTTTTTTGCAATATATAGGATATTACAGCTTTACAAGTATGTATATTTATTTATGGGACATTTATGTAATAAAAAATCATGAATTTAATAATGCATGAGCCAAATATTTATGTTAATAATATCAATTGTCTAATTTATATCAATTGTCGGTAATGTCAACGTTCTTGAATTACCTCCGGGCCCTTGGGGCCCTTTTTATACCGCCGAAAATTTGCCCAGGGTTGACGGTCTTTAATAATATCTCGTCGGTGATCGAAGGCTGCGAAGACGCCCAGTCAAGCTAGTTACGCCGCTACGTTTTCTCCCGCCATTTCTGACAAAGCGAATAATCCCACCTCATCTCAAATCAAACAGGTTGTATCGACTAAAGCTAATTATCAATATTCCGACTCGGACGCATCGCCTTATGCAGTATACATATGTCCGGACAAAACCTCTACCTTACATTTTTCTGTTTTATCTAAAATAGTATCAGAAATCACCAACGCGGACATTCTATCGATTAAGCGATTAGGAAGTGGCAAGGCCATCGTAGAGTCCCCAGCCGCTAACCGCTTAGTCAACAACCCGCTTTTGAAAAATATAAGATCAGAGCCTTCATTCCATCGTACCGCGTTCTCAGAACAGGTATTATCAAGGGTATCGATCAAATACTCTCCCTAGATTGCATCAAGGACAGCATTCGGTCTCAAGTCAAGATTCTAGAGGTTCAAAGACTGAACCGGCGCATGACTATTAACCATGAAACTACTTATATCCCCTCTAGAACTCTCTGCACCAAATTCGCAGGACAGCAACTATCTAGCAATATAACTCTGTTCAATGCTAAATACACAGTGGAACCATATGTACCTAAGATTAGAATATGTTATGTATGCTACAGAGTGGGGCACATAGGCAAAGATTACAAAAACTCAAAACCGCGATGCCTTTATTGCAGTCAAGAACATGACAAATCCATAGACTGTGAGCACAGATCACTACCATCTAGATGTATCAACTGCGACGGAGAGCATGTAGCAACCTCATTCGACTGCCCGGTCATTAGGAATCACAAGGAAGTCATCAACCTCGCAGCATATGAAAACATACCTTATGTTGAGGCAAAAAGAATAATTGCCGCAAACAATCCTACTAGTCCTTCCATTACAATGAATCCTCGTAATTTTCCATATATCAGTAACTCCTAGCAGTCTCTGCATAAGGATATTCGAAGTTTTTCCAGATACAATACATTTAATAGATTTTCCAGGTTGAACTCTGACGACCCCGGAGACGCCGGGACAGAACATCACCTTAGCTACGCGGAAGCAGTAAGTGCATCATCGCCGGGGCGATCTCTCCGAAAACCGACAAATGGCGCTTGCCTGGAGGCGCCTCGAGGGCATCGCGATAGCGGACACCCGTCAGCCCTCAAGGTCGCCAATTCCACAACGCGGCTACAACATAATGAAATCCTTTGCCAACCTAATGGCCGACCTTATGAGAGACAGAATTGTGCCCCTTCAGGAAATGAGAATCTTAGCTTCGCCAACATCTTTGAGCAAATAATAACTTTCTTATCTAATCTCAAGAATTTGTTCAACAACCAGCAAATTTCAACATTTGTCGATCCAGTAATTGCAATATTATCAAGGTTAGCCAATTTTATCAGAAGTTCTAACCTCAACTTTGACTTCCTCCTTGGGCTATTAACCGGCACTGGATCTAACTCTTTTGACTCCACTGGAACTTCAGAAACTAATACTAAGATTCTCTAATAACAGAAGAATTTCTTGCTCTTTTAACATCCTACAATGGAACTGACGCGGAGCCAGAGTAAACTCCCTCAACTCTAGGCAATCTCCAAAAATTATGACATTATTTGCATTCAAAAGTCTGCTCTCTCCTTCCTCTACCTTTTTTCTGCGTGGTTTTTATGCCTTAAGAGCGGACATTGCCAAACCAGGTATGAGAGGAATCTGCATTCTAATTAGATATAATATCATTTTCAGCATCATAGACATGTTAGACTTGAAGGATGATTCAGTGGAGATGCTTGCTGTGGAGGTGTCTTCAGCAACGAGAAATTCACAATCGTCAACATCTACCGGCACCCAAATCATAATATCCCCGCTCAATTTTACGAACAACTGATGAGATTTGGAGACTCCAGGACCAACTGCATTCTTGTTGGTGACTACAACGCACATCTCAATGGGGCTGCTCAAACACAGACAGCGCCGGTAAATTTATCCTAACAGCAATGGAGGACCATCACGCATGTATTCTCAACGACCAACGACCTACTCTACTTCTTTCGCCTAACTCGGGTCTATCAATCATAGACCTGATCATAGCTACTGCAAACATAGCTCCTCTATGTGAGGCGCGCACAGAAGAGAACACCTGGAGCAGTGATCATTTCTCCATCACAGTTAGAGTCGGTATCAGCTTGCGACAACGATACCCTTATAAAATTAAACTCGATAAAAAAGAGCTGGCTGCGTTTCAGGGCGCCCTCGCCAACTCATATGACTTATTTATGAGTCATTTACCTCCTGACGAAAAAGAGACATACTCTAGATCGATGAACCATTTAGTGAACAAGACTGTAACGTGCTGCTCCTCTTCTTCTACCGTTACAAGTCCGGGCATCGTACTAATATCCAACGAGAGCCGCCCTTCCGTGGTAGACGGATAAATGCCAGGAAACAATCATTAAACGCAGGGAGGCGGTCCGAATTTGGCAGAGAACTCCTACAATTGAAAACTTTCACAATTTTAAAAAAGCGAAGACAAAATGCTCTAAGGTTCTTTTCAGGGAAAAGAGGAAAGGATAGAGAGAATTCGTCGGATCATTTGACTCTAAAACTCCGACCTCAAAAATCTGGTCACTGATCAGAGCCTTCAAATGACGCAACATGTCGCTCTCAAATCACACAGCTGACCCTTCTAAAGAGAGACAGTCTATGCAGGAAGCCATTCAGAAGCTATGCCCGCCATCACGTTTTCAAGATATCTTAACAAATCTCGAGGAAATGAAAAAGGAGGATAACAACTCCGGCACTGTCTTCGAGGAAATTGACACCCCAATCACCGTAAGGCACCTGGAACGTGTAATTTCTATCACAAAGAAGAAATCGGCTCCAGGCCTGGACAGAATCAGCAACAACATGCTGGCACACTTGCCAGATAAATATAAGGAACTCCTAGTGAATCTCTTTAACAGATTCTTGACCGAAGGGTCTGTTCCGGATGAATGGAAGGTGTCTTTAATTGTACTCATCCCCAAAGCGGGAGTCAGGCCTATCTCCTTGCTCTCTTGTATCCTAAAACTATTGGAAAAAATTGTATATTGGAAACTACTCTGGCTGATGGAATCGCAATCCCTCATGAACAGATGGGATTCCGTCCTAGTCGGTCATGTAATGACAGTTTAGTAACGTTCACCAACCTAACCCTA